GTATGTTATAATTAGTTGATTTACTAATAAGTTATTGTTTTTGTTTTCGTTTAGTTGTTAAGCACAAAGCGACACGATGGGTTATGTGTGTTGTGCCCCCACTGTTATTGAAACCAGTTTTTAGCGTTATAAGCCTTCAACTTTACCGCTGAACCACTGTAGAGCTTCATTAAAAATACCTTTAAAGAAAACTTTTATCCGAGAAGTAACATTATTAGTGTTACAGTATCTTAGTCAATACAAATATCTATGCGTGAGAAAAATATATACACAAATAACTAAGTCACCCAGAAGTGATAAATAGTGATGTAATAGTAATTTGTATTTACAGAACAATATCTTAAACGTTAACGCACACTAGTGTAAAAATATTAGAAGAAGGATAAACATTCTACTCTTTTACAAAACGTTTGATTGAAAGTTTTCGCTAGTTATCTGTACACAGAAGAACAGCTGGGTGGAAAACGTGAATAGAAGATGAAATACTTATTAATAATATTGTTGTGGGATATATTTTAATTCCGATGTAGATAGAGGATGCATGACGTTAAGACCAAGTAAATTTGGGGGAGTAGGCCTAGAAAGCTCTAAATCTTGTAAATTTGGTAGTATCAAGAGACAGCAGTAGATTATAGATGCGAGAATCAGTGAAGCATTGAGCTAATGTGTTTTATTTTCAGTTGGTATAGCTAACAGAAAATTAGCCGATTTTGATTTCTGTAAGTAGAGTGTCAATGTTTAGTGAAGCATTTGGATCAGTAGTAATAATCGCGTAAATCAGTTATTCGATTGATCAACCGTGAAATTATACTAGTAAATTTATTTTCACGTTAGTCCTAGTACCATTAACGAGGTATTTCCATTTGAACGTCACTTGCAAATTTAGGCCCAGAATTTACCACAAATGCAAGCTTGTCGAAAATTTAATGAAGGAATAAACTAACTTACTGTCGTTAAGTGAACTGGTTCCGAATTATTTTCACCAACTTATTTAAAAGTACCCGCCTAAGAAAAGAACAACGTTACAACAATATATTAACAAAAACATGAAAATCTAAGGCCATGTTTAATTGTGTGTGAGTGTATATATATATATATATATATATAGTTTTTCGTAAGATAATTCTTAATGTTATGAGGTTCTAGATTGAACACCAATTCTGTATTTGTTATTTTAAAGGCTCTAGACCTAACACAAAAATGAAATTCTTCTTGAAAACGGAAGGTATGAAACTTCTATCGTTAAAATATAAACCTGAAATGTTTATTTATGATAATAAGTCACTGATAACTTTTTCCTTATTTAACAAATAACATCTAAATGTGGTAAAACAGTCCTTTTTTCTTCAACAGTAACATTTCTATTTCGGTGTCCCCCATCTAAATACAGTAAAAACTTCCTAACATTACATTTATGTTTGAATATTATTTGAATAGAATCGGCTTTAAATAATCAGGACACTGTTTTCGCAACAATTTTTCATGGTACCATAGTTTTGTAAGTTACATCTTGAACGTTGCAATTTAGATATTAGCTAGAAGGCGCTTGAAGTTAAGATCTAGTAAGTTATACTACGATCAAGATAGGTACATTACATACAAACACAAGTTGGCAGCTAGCAGTGAATCGGTGAAGCAATGAGCAGTTTTGCTGGTAGAGTACCAGTTATTCAGCGAAGTGTTTAGATTAGTTTCAGTTATCGTGTATATTCAGTTACTCGATTGATTAGCCATGAAATTACACAAGTTTAGGCAGCTAGTTATCACCACCCACCGCCAACTCTTGGGCTACTATTTTACCAACGAATAGTGGGATTGACCGTCACATTATAACGCCCCCACGGCTGAAAGGGCGAGCATGTTTGGTGTGACGGGGATACGAACCCCCAGAGGGTTGGGAATAGACTTGAGATATCAACAATTAGTATTATTTTCCTGTCCAGGAGTGTCGAGAGCCAGCACGTCCCATGGGGAAAACATCCTCGCCGGGCCTCCTTTCTCTCTGTTTTTAAAAAATTTAAAGAACTTATTAAAAAGATCCTAAATTAGGTCAGCAACGAGCTCATAAACGAGGCAAAATCATAGCAGCAGCCGTTTTTAGCTCACAGTATAAGCGTAAAAACGTGCTTTACGGCAGAACCAGATTTCATTCACCCGTGTCCCTGGGCAGTTTCCCCCCTTTGCCCTCCACCCTGTGTGAAACGTCGAGAAAATAATTAATTATCAATAGCTACTGTTTGTTTCTCTCCATTAAATATTACACATATCAGTGGCGACTGTGTGCACTGTTACTATAATGTCGAGTTGCGAACATTAAAATAAAACAAAACATAGACAATCCCCTTTATTTAGATTGGGACTTGGTGCGGGGAGGGAGGCAGAACAGCACAATGGGTTATCTGTGCTATACCTACCACGAGTGTCGAAACCCAGTTTTTGCGGTGTGAACTATATTTCGAGGGCCAAAAACTGTATCTTTAAAAAGAAAAAAATTAAAATAAAACACATTACTCTTTGTGTAATATAGTAATATCAATGGGAAAATGAGAAACATTGTGTTATAGCGTGTCTTACACGAAAACATTGTTTTTATACGCCATTTCCAAAATAATAACATAGTTAACTTTTTTCTGTTAAACAAAACCATTTTTCCCTGTTATTTCCCGCTCAAAAATAGAAACTGTGTCTTTATAAAGAATAAATTTAAAGTAAAATACATTACTCTTAATAGTAATATCAATGGGAAAATGGGAAACATTGTGTTCTAGCTTACTGCTAGAGATTTTCATAAAGCATTGTTACAAAAAAAAACGTTGATTTTTTACACTTAAGAAAACATTTCAATTTTAGATTATATTCTTCCTTTGTTGATATTTGAGGCTCAGTTTTAGATAATATTCTTCTTTTGTTGATATTTGAGACATACTTACTTCCATAATTTTTGCAACTGTTGAACCCCCAATCGAAGGGAGTGTTACAGGAAGATTCTGACCAGTATAAGTCCCCTTCTGCATTGGACAGCCACATTGTTGCCCGCGTGGAAAAATTGGACAGAAGATATCCTGGTTATTATTAATCATCTCACATACGTCGTATTCACTACAATAAGAAAGGACAAATTATATTTAAATAAATTTATAGTAAAGTATAAACTGAATATTTATGCAATAGAGACGTAGGAACATAAATATGAACGAGAAGGAAAATACTATAAAAAAAAGCTATAAAATAAAGTTTTTCGTATTCGGCCTACTTTACATTAACAACACATAACACAGAACGGTTATGTTAGGCCTATTGCCTACACAAATATTACATTTCACATCGTGTTAAGTAACGTTAGTTATTACCAAAAATAAATTTTTCTACAAAACCAAATATTTTGAAAAACAAAATCCTGTAAAAGTCCCCAAGTCAATAACATTTTTTTTCGAATTTGGTTTCCTTTTAGTTCAAAACACATAACAAATAGTACGAAATTATGAATATGAAGTTTTATTAAAGTTTTAAATAGGTGTAGGTGTATTTTTAATAGAGTATTGATATTTAACATGTCTCTTTTGTAACTACTTATGGCTGTGAAGTATTTAGCCTCATTTAATACATATTTAACTAACTAAAGAACTGTTTTCTGTTTACATTATAAGCCCTAATTGACTATACCGACAGAACCGTATTCACAGACTGCCACTATGATACTGACAAATAGTACTTATCAGTGAAGTCATCGTAATTCAACCATTCTTATGGCAGCTACCTAGTGACGGATCTCATAAACTTATTTGCAAGACAGCGATATGTAAAATTATACACTAAAACGAACACTTACCTGTAGGAACTCCATCTCTTTTAATACCAAGAAATAGTATCCTAAAAATAGGTGGTTTCAGCGTGATGGTCTTGGGAGCTGTTTGGGTTGGTGGGAGATCGAGCTTATAGGAGTGCGTTGGCAACATAAACTTTGCGAAATACTTCAAAATTTTTATTCCTCGGGTTTCGTGGACAAGAACACAACGTTGTTCCAGAAAGATTGAGCACCGTGCCACACTGCTAGAAACACCCAAAAGTGGCAGGAAGAAAATGGTATCCAGAAGTTGCCCTGGCCGAGCCAATCTCCTGACATGAACGCCATCGAAAACCTCTGGGCCATACTCGACCGGCAAGTCAAGAAACAACAACAACAACAAAAAAACAAAACAAATTTCGTTCAGGTGACTTTAGCCTTAAAAACTGTGATGGCAGGGGC